TTTGAATCAAGCGGCAATTTTGTCATACATATTTTAATGACAGCGAAGACTCATAATGGAATCGCGAAATGTTAAGAATGTGAATGTCAGGAATATTAGGTATTGTGAAATCAGGCTGTAAGTTTAATGCCATTTATTTCCCAGTTTAGAGAAGAAGGTATTTCGCCATTTTGAACGATTTAATCTAAATGAATGCAATATTTTGCTATTCACCCGTTGCACAGTTTGGTTGCACAGTTTTGTTAAAATTTATTCCCGTTGTCAGTTAGTTGGAACGTTAAACCTAATCCATCTACATGTGGACGTATTTACCGCAATTACAACAGTGGAAACAGTGAAAACAGTGGCAACTCTCTGCACAATGGCGCCAAAAGTGCGTTACCGTAAATAGTTTGTGACGTCTGTCTCTATTCCACAGTCCTACTCCGTCTGCCTTCCCCCTCCCGACAGTCAGCCAGCCCCGTGAGTAGTGTGTTTCGTAGGAACGGTGCATGCAATGTCTGTTAAGTGGCTTTTTATTTCTAGGGCTGAAAAAGTCAACGGCGGTGAAGAATAGCATTACTTTTGGCGAGCTTTAGCGTACTGCTCTCGTATATATACCATGCTTGTGTGTGTGTGTGTGTGAGTGTGTGTCTGGGAGGAGGGAGAGGGTTGAAAATGATTTGCAGTCGCTTGGGCCTTGGATACGTTGTTTGTGCTGCCAGGCTAGTGGAAACCGCACAGTCTGCCGTTTCGTTAGCTATGGTTGCGGTCTTGTTGGAATTGTTGTTGTTATCGTTGCTGTTGCTGTTGCAAGAACGTTGCTGTTGTCATCATTACTGTCGGCAACTTTGCTTAGTTATCTGCAGATGGGCTCGCGTTTGCGCGCCATTTTCACATTTGTAGTGTCATTTGCGGTTTGAATTCTGGTGGTGCAGTTCGACAGCCCAAAAAGACAAGCAGACAGACAGCTACTCCCACGCGCCCATTAGCTCCAACACCGAATAACAACAAGCCCAGCATTAGAGCACCATCCCAATTGGCACCGTCTGGCATCGCTTTGATCCAATTTGAATGCATTGCGGCCCATGCAAATTCATTAGCGCAACTGCGTCTGCCTCCAACATCGGCATCGGCATCCATTTGCTTAAGTGTTCCGCTCTGATGGCTTCAGCTAGACAAAATGTTCGCGTTTAAAATGATTCAGACAATCTTAAATGCAGTCTTGAATATGCATGTAATTCAGCAATCCAATGTCAACTTAATCTTGCATAATTCTAAATGCAATTGTTGAAAATGGTTTACAGGAAATAATAATATTTTATATTTTGTACCTTGACCATTGACAGATACGCTTAACACATCAGCATAATTTATTTCTGTTTAAATATTTTGTTGTCCGGTTTTGTACATTACAATTTGAAATACTCTCTCGGCTACTAAGCCTAGAATTCGACCTCTAATTTTAAAAAACTTTTCCGTTTTCTGCTTGAGCAGAGGCTTAAGATTAATTAAGAATGTTTAAGACCGTTTTGGTATGCCGTAATTCATTAACAAACGATAAACATTGATTTTTTCAAAAGTGGTTTGCATATTTTTATATGCATTTGCTGAAATACATGAAGTCTTACATTATATTCCTCTGCAGCTTGACTAACATAGCGACATCATTCAGTATTGATTTAATATTTTGTTGGCCGGGATTTTTATATGCATTTTGTACTTTCATCTGAATCTCAAAATCTTAAAGGTTTTGCCATTCAATCCTGATATGGGCTTACTTAACGAATATCCTGGAGGCACATTTTCTGTGCATAACAAAGGGGCTTTAAGCTTATGTAAAACATTTAGAAAGGTTTTTTTTGTATGACTCAATTTTTTAAAAATAAGAAAGGAAGGTTATCTTAGACCTGTCGAAGACTGCATACCCTTGTAGACTGGAGTTAATCTGCTAATATCTGAATTTTCGTTTAATTCGAAATATTATTATGTGCTGGATGTCTTAAAAAAAATTAAGTTATATTGAATCAGAAAGAATGACATTTTATGTCTATCGATTCCACAAATTAAATCCTTCGAGTGGTACAATCGTATACCTTAATAAATTACACGTGCCACGACAAAATTATAATTCCTTCTACAAGAGTATAAAAACAACATATCGACTTTAGTAAATGGATTTATTGAGCACATCTCTGGAGAAGACGACAATTTTGCTATGAAGACATAGCAAACACATACACCATGGAAATTCTGATTTAATGTATAAAATTAGGCATGTATTGAAGCAAGATTGGCAGCATTACATTTTCATTCTTCTGAAGTAAACAATTTTCGCTTGTGCAATAAACATTTGTTCAATGTTATTTACATTGGGTACATTAAACCGGAAGAAAATCACTTTCACAGCTGATAAATATAAAGTTTTCGATTTACAATTTCTAATGTGTTTAACGTAAGTCCATTAGCTCTTGTTGCTATTTTTTTTTTGTTTTTTTTTTTTTTTTTTTTTTTTTTGTTGCACTTAGCTCATGCTTATGCTACGATGGACATTGAATTCGAGCTCACTTCAAAATTCAATTAGCTTACTTTGTGTTGCGTAAAGAAACCCAAGGAAAAATGTGTTTGAGTTTTTTCCTCTACCCCTCTGTTGTTGCGTCTATTTGCATATATTACTTGCATGTGTGTGAGACTATGTATGTATATGTATATGGGTATGTGAGTGTGCATTGTAAATCCACAGTGACCCACTTTGTGGAGCAAAGAAATTCAACAATTTATTAATTGATAGTATGACAAAAATTACCAGTGTCAAAAACAATTCGCAGACATTGATTAATAGTGGCTCGTAATTTTTTTTGTTTTGTTTTTTTTTTCATTTCCGACAGTTTGCGAATCTCAGTCCAAAAACTTACCGCCCACGAATATGAGTTTATACATGCGTTTGTGAGTGTATTTGACTTATGAGTCGTCCAGACACAATCTGACCTTCAGTCTGGCCCTGATAGAAGTCACAGACAGACAGTCGCCAGCTGTAGCTGATGGTACAGTGAAGAAAATTTATCCATTTCAGGACATTTATTTCACAAATTAATTTATATTATTTCAAAAGTTTTTATATTTTTCTCAGGCCGATTGTTTGGCTTAATATCACTATAGTTTACAATTCAATTAAGTTCTAATACGCTGTGAAAACCATATTCAGTGAGTAATATTTATATTTCAAAAGTTTGGCGGTGTATAAGCCACCCTCGTTATTAAGAAAGCAAGTTTTGTTCCGTCTTGCAAAATTTAATTATCATACAAAATGTAGCCAGCAATATTGCTTTAAAACTGAGATACTAGTTTGCATTAACAGAGACAGAAGAAACAGATAGTCAGACGCGCATACACTCAGAAAAATGTTGTTTTTAATTCTAGAAAATCTACATACTATTGGCGACAAGATTATTTCGGAAAATTTAATAATCAAGTATTCTAATTCTAAGACATTTTTTGAAATTTCTTCTAATTAGAAGACAAATTTTCTAGTTTTCAGGGTGGATTTTGAAAATTCAGTGCGATTTTTGTTTCGAGTGTAGCCTTCTAAATATATTTTTCAAAGCTTTATAAATGTTATTAAATTAAAAATTCAAGCATTTTATGTTTGAGCGAAATTTTCCAGGATGGTATTTGGGTTCCATTGTGTGGCACAATGTCGACTCCTTGGACCACTTGACGCAGCATTGCCGCTGGCAGTTAGGGCGGGAAATCGTTTGCTTATAGTATAAGGCAGGGAGCCAACTTTTTGACAATTGATGTGCGCAAATACTTATAAGTCAGAGACACTCGCAGTCGCATGCCCGTAGATAAACTTGACTGGGGGCCAGGGCCACAGAGCACATCGTAGTTGGTGGCAGACAAATTGCAATCGTCGTCATAGTCATCGAAGTTATTCTACACACACACACAGCTACTTATAAACACAACAGCCATTGATATGCTCGTTCTGGAGGCATTGCTCAGTCAATTTCGTTCTGAAAAACCGAGGTAAATTCAATTGAGTTGAGCAGCAGTCGAGCAAGTTGTTCTGAGGAGGCAAGTGTCGACTTTGCTACAATGGCGCTTAATTTTCAACGGTGCAACTAACGTTGCCCGAGGCGGTTTGGGAGGCGTGTCCGCCACCCATAAATAATGTGGTCTGGGTGAGCAGTTGGGAATGCGATTGAGAAGCCCAGCGTATGCCAAGAACGTACCGTGAGTCTGACTCAAGTTTACAAGACTTTTCACTTTTACTCAAACTTAAGACATTGAAACCCAAAGTCAATTTTCAAAGCTTTCGCAAAATGCCGCAGAGATATATATATTGTACATATGTATGGACATGAGTTAAATTTGGCAGAGGTATGTACTACACTTAGAAAAAAATCGCCCAGAAAATTGTCTTTAAGCATTAAAATATATATATATATATGTATATAGTTATAGATAGTAGACATGCAAAAACCTATTTTTAGAATACATCATTTCAGAAATTCAGCAAATAATAATGGAATTTGCTATCGAGTTCGAATCATCGTAAAATTTTAACTTTCTCAAATTAGAAACCAATAATCCATGAATTTATAAACTATTTAATATAATTAAAAAAGGCTATTGTAAAAATTGTATGTACACTCATAAAAAATAACTATTTGTAAATTAAGGCATTCCAGATTTTAGAAAACTGTAGCCAGGAATTAAGACACACCACGAAACAAAACACTGGTTTTTGGAAAGACGCAACCCAACTTTCTTTAAATATACTTTCTGACAATAAGGTGAGTTACCCTGGCGACAAATTGAAGGCGAAATTTTATCTGAGTGTATTAAGCTATACTTAGATATAGCTGTGGGGTTGACTTAGCGCCAAAGCAATTTTGCGCTGAAGCAGCGGAAATGCGAAACCACAGAAAATATATTTTGCAAAGCGAATTAACTTCGGACTTGGTAGAAAAACAAAAAACAAAATCAAAGTTTGAATAGCGGAATAAGTCACTCACCTGACTTGCAGGGATCCATGTCGATGTCATTGGACACCTTTGGAGTCACTCGCATTTGCAGCAGCTGCTGGATGCTGTACTTGCTGTGATAGGCCCGGCGATTATTCAGCGGAGCCAGGTGATGCACGTGCGTCTTGTGGCCATGATGCAGCTGCTGATGGTGCTGATAAGGATGTGTGGCAGTTGTTGCTTTGGTGTCGGTGTCACGCGCATGCTTGTCAGTTGCAATGCTATCCATGGACGTGGTTGCACCCACATCCATTGCCGGCTCCTCATGCAGCTTGGCGCTTTTGACATGTGCCGAGATTAACACCAGCAGCGTCGTGGCCATCAGCAGGGCGTAATTCGTATAGCTCATGACGCGGCTAATGCGGCTAATGCGACTAATGCGTCCAGTTGCAAGTTTATGCCGCGACGCCATCTAAGAGCGGCTGCTTTGCACGTTCTCGCGCTTGTCAGTCGCTTGTCGCGTTTTGTTCACTTCGTTCGCTTGCTTTTGCTTGCGCTTTTTGCTTTCGCTTCTTGCTGAGCGCTTCTGCTTCTTGCTTATCGGTTGCAATTCAGCTTGTGTGTGTTCGGTTCAAGAGCACTTCATTCTTGCCCTGCACGTGGCCTGCAATGGGAATTGAAAGAAAGGTATTGAATGAGCGTCTAAAAATGCTAATTGTTGAATTGCCTTTAACTGGCTCGATTTTGTTTGCGTTTCAATTCGAATGAATTGCGCGAGGTCGATCAATTGGCCGTCTTGCCAGCGACAGAGTATTCAAATATGTTTATACGCAATAATAACAATATAGAAAACAATTTGTGTATATATATAATATATATGATAACCTTAACCTCTTGCGTAATTTATTTGTTGTTTATGCCTATTAATCAGTTTGCAAGATTCGCTGCGTGAATTAACCATGGAAATAAACTGATGTCTTCAAATCAACACTGTTCTAAAAACTAAAAAGTGGCTCGTAATAGCTAGGAAAAAGATAAGTCTCGACAGTTTGCTGAGTAACTCTGAACATTACATTTAATAGGAGAATATGAAATTACCATATAATTGCTGCCTTTGGTGTGTTTAGAGTGTTGTCGCTATCGAAAATATTTACAATTAACATGCGGTCCACTGTGGCTAAGGCATGCGTAATTCCAATATTATTTTATGGAATCGAAGTTTTTGTTAATTGTAACGGAAAGTCAAAATAATATTTAGGATAGCCTTTAACAGTATATCATCTAAATTTACAATCTTCACTATCTTGACCGCAGGTAGAGTTATACTTGATTTAATTGCTATCAACATCATAATTTAGTATGAGATAATCAATTATTTGATTGCTAAGAATCAACATCCCTTAATGCATTTAAAATTGCAATTTCAGCACAAAAAATACAAAGAAAATAATAAAATAAATAAAATAATAATTTAATAAACAATAATAATAATAATTAAAATGTAAAGCTTCAAATTTAAAAACAAAAAAAAAAAATATAAATTAACATTTAAAATGTGGAATATAAATTATGTGATTATTTTGAATATTTTTAAATTTCCAAATGAATGTTTAGTGAAAGTTTAACAGGATTTTATAAATTATAATATGACATTTTAAAAATCCAGTATAAATAATATATGCATAAGAGGAAATATAATAGACAAATAAGATATCCACAACAGAGTACAAATTTGTGAAATTGCATTATATTATAAGCTTATGTCGTAAATTTGAGCTTCTTTAACGAATAATAACAGCACTTGCACCATATGTTTAGTAAGAGTTTATGGGAGGACTTTAAGCCTTAAGCCAAGATGCCTTCCCGGCATTGTTGTCTATACAAATTTAGTTCAATCCGACCATAATAAACTGGTGCAAACAAAACACAACAGGAACGGAACAGCAGCAGTTGGAAGCAATCAATGCACAGCCGGCATCTAATTTACATATGTGAGCGGCTGTGTGAGTGAACATGTGTGTGTGTGTGTGTGTGCATGTGTGTGTGTGTGTGTGTGCATGTGTGTGTGTGTGTGTGTGTTTGTGTCTGTGCGTGAATGTGTATGTGAATAGGGTTGTGTTTGCTCACAGCTGTGCACAACTTGAAGACGACTCGGTGCTGGCATATTAAAAACAAAAGAGGTGTACCATTTCGATAAGAAAAATGTGGGAACTGACAAGAAAGGAAATGTGGATGGAAAGTCAGGCAGGATGGCAGCTGATTCAGGCAGGCAGCCAGGCAGTCAGTCAGGCAGTCAGGCAGTGATCTGCCAGCAGGCTCATAAACGCGAATTCGGCCGCCGGCTGTCATCGGCTTAGCACTCAATTAATTTGAGCTGAAGGTGACACACACATTGTCCATTGTCTAAGAGTGCCTGCCTGTCTATGCGCACAATGGCAGGTAATTAAAAATCACTTAAAGCAGTAGCTCCGCGCGCTGCCCTCAAACAAACTTTGCTTGGCAATTGAAAACAAAAAATAAAAAATAAAACCAAAAAAGAAAAAAAAAAAAACGAAAACCTTTTCAATTAACTAAAATGCTGGGTCGGCTATTATCGCCCTGTTATTGTTGCAGGACCTGGTCCCTGCCAATGTTGGCAATTTCATTAAATCATTTAATTTCCGGCGCGCACAACCCACAATTACAGCAACAGCAACAGCAATAGTACTATAACAAAGCAAATCAAGTGCCGGTCTGGGTTTTTATGGCAAATTAAGTTGGCTTTTGTGGACCGGGTGCTGAATGCCCGAATTTCTTAGCCAGCGAGCACAACTAGCGAATAAAGCCAAAGACAATTCCAGCAAGAACCCTTGGCAAAAGTTGCTGCGGCACAAACAATAGTGACAGCAACTACTACATTTGTGGGGCAAGCAACAAAAAAAGTGCAACATATTTTCTTAATTTCATTTCATTTCGTTTCGTCTTGTGCGTGGTGCGCAGCCAGCAGAAACCATTTTCATAATGCTCAGTCGCATAATTGCGTATACGCCGCATGTGTCACCAGGGGACCTGCACCAACTGGCAACAGACAGAGAGTCTTTGACTAGCAGCCAGCCTTATTTGCGGCGCTAAATTAAAAATTATATTGATTCATTTTGAACTACTTAGGTGTAAGTTTGGAATGAATTTGAAACTAAAGAGCATTTTTTGTTTTCAGAAATAATTTTTAAATATAATAGGGAAAGTGTAATAATTAATAATAATTTGAGCAACAAAAAGCACATTTCTGTCTTCACAGATCAAAAAAAACCCCTGGAAATGATGTATATTTTCCCAAAAGTATAGCGATTTTCTTAAATTCAAGTCGGGTTTTTAGGTGTATATTTAAATGAACCAGTTGTTTAGCATCAGCTCAGGGAACCGTTGGTGCTTGCACTGCTTTGTGCTTTGGACTTTCTACAGACTACTTAGTGGCTGTTCACCGCACCCACATTGGCCTGTTCCGCTTATCAGCGAGCAATGCGAAAAGCTGTGGGTCTAGGTCAAATTTTTTGACAACGATGTTGCAAAACGTAAACAAATTAAAATTTCATTGCACGGCTGCGTAATGTTATAAATAAACAACAACAGCTTTGCAATATGTTTTTGATGAATGTGTTTCTTGTCTGCGAGTTATTTGCATTTTTTCTTTATTTTTTTCTTCTTTGACTCTGATATTAAAAGATTATGCACGACGATGATGCTAAATGTAGCGGGACATTCACATTTAGTTTAATTATGTGAGATAAGGTCCGAAGATGAACAGCTTCAGCATCAGCATGAGCTTCAAATTCATCCTGCTGCTCTCTCACAGTCTCAGTCAGGCCATCAATCAGGCTTGTCAAGTGCGCGCCACTTTCAAACTACACGAGCTGACAATGACAAGCGCAAAGTGGTCGGGGATATCCACAAACGGAAATGGTTTAGTCTAGGCTACACTCAAAAAAAGGTCGCCATGAATTTTAAAAAATCTCCACAGTTTTGGCGCCAAGGGTAACGTTAATACTCAGCAATTGTCTTTCTTACTAAAAAAAAGATTTGTTTAATTTCAAGAGTGTTATTTGGAAATGTGTGTACACAGAACTCTAAAAGTAGATATTCTTTTGCTTATCTTAATATTAAACATTAATACTTTAATATTTCACACATACAAACATTTAAGATAGCTTAGGATTTCGTAGAAATATAAGACTTCATAATATTCTTTTCTAAAAACGAGAAAAACTTTTTAGTTTTCAGTGTAGTGTAGTCAGTAAAGTGGCATCGTTGCTCCACGTCTCATCTAGTCCTGTCTCTTGTATCTACTTGCCTACACGCCTCGTCTCGTCTGTGTCATTTTTAGTGTTTTACAAGCACAAATCTTGACACGAGCCCTTCTCCCAAGCTCCTCCAAAAATGGCTCGCATTCATTGTTTGTTCCGTTTTGATTTGCCCTGTCGCACTGACAGTTGACATTTCAAGTTGCAAACTATGTCCGTTGCTGCCTATCTACTAGGATATGAATTGTATACCCTTGTCAAGATACACTGAAAGCACAACGATATCGAATAAACTGAAAACAGCTGATCAATGATTTCGCTTATAATTCTCAAGGACAGCTTGGGTTAATTTAGAAAATAATAATTTTCAGCTTTACTAAAGAATGCTCATTTTACAATGAATATTATTCTTAAAATTGTACAAATAATAAAAACCCGTAAATGTAAATGGTGCTATCCGAAAAATACATAAGTGATTTTGTTTAAATTGTTTAAAATATTTATAAAACAGGATTTAAAATAAGCTTTCGATTTGGCGTATAAGGGATAATAAGCTATAATTTTGATTTTATTTCTTTGGGATAGCAACAATGAACAATAAAAAATCAAATTTAAAAAAAGCAATATTACTAAGATTAACAATTAACATTATTATTAACATTTTTACTAACTATTAACCTTTTATGTTGTTCTTTGAATTTGTTAGCAGCAGCAGCAAAGAAATTTTAATTTGAATTGTTTACATATTTAAATCTGCAATAAAGCATTTGTATCGGATCACTCTTGCTTTATTGAAGAAAACATTTTCTTACATTTAAACAGTGTTCATTGTTTCTAATAATTTCTTAATAATAAATTTAATTATAGCCTATTCTTATGCAATTTTGGCCATATGCTAATATTTGCTTCATGCAGATCAGACAAATGAAACCATGGTCTGAGTAACAGCCAAAAGATAACCTATTGTATACAAATCTGTATTGTCTTCATTTGTGATCAACATTCTTCATAAATTATATTGCTCTGATTGACACAACACACTAAATAAATCAGTTTCTTCTTTTATTTTTAAGAACACTTTATAATTAATCAGGACTAGATGCAAAAATGTAATATTCGGACTGCGTGTAATAAACTATTCTGCATTGATCAGTATAGAATTTAAATCAATGCATTTGTTTGCATTTAATTCTCGAATCGGTTTGTCGGATTTTCATGTCGGTGTCGAAAAGTATTGCATATCAACAGGCGCTTATTGAAGCGAGCAGAGAAGCGGAGAGCACAGGAAATTGACAGCAGCTGGATGAAAATGAGTTAATTTCAATTACGAACGCAAAACCAAAAATGGCCAGACAGCTGTCCGGATATAATGAAGGCAGCGCATTCC